CCAATTGTAATGGTTCGATGACCTTTCAGAGCATGGGTTTTTGGCAACGTAAAATGGCGCCTTGTCGGCTTCACCTGAATGGAGGTGGTTGCGGGTCCAGTTTAATTATACGTCCGTGAGACGACCGTCTCATCCTGCTGATGACAATAGTTACAAGTTGCATGAAAAAAAAAACAATCGCATTTCCTTTCCATTGGTCGAATAAATGTCATATATAAGTCAGCTTTTCTTGGAGAGGAAATCCGATCTCAACATAGAAATTCCGCCAAGGAAACTAACGGCATCAGGCTGATGTAATCCGAAAAGATTCCATACATAAGCTGCTCAACACACAGCGCCCCATTCAAATCGGCTTTAAAAATAGTTTATTTCATGCGACCCTTGTGTGGCCACGTGGTTGCGCTGCGACGGATCTCACAGCACAGGCTGAAGCCATTGACGCAACGCAGCTACTTCTGGCGCCGATGCGCTATGTATCCGGGATTTGGTAATGTTGAAACTTGCAATCAAGCGATTGAAAGCCAGACTGTGAGATTAAGAGCACTGTGTGGGCCGATACGAACGACAGTCGACTGCATCGCCGGCCGGCACCCACCCCCACAAACGACCGCAGGGCAGACTGCTGCACCGCCCTCTGTGTGTCAGGTTGATATGTAATGTCGGGGGAATCTGGAAGCATCAGCGAGCGGCGGACTTCAGGTTTCCGGCCTTGCTCCAGCCCTCTCTGCTCCGAATGTGTAATGACGACCGGCAGCCGGACGGATATCGACCTACCGCCGCCCGAAGGACACAAGTATCGATACCGCGGCCGCGCCGGCAGGCCATCGAACACCGGATACGGGAGTTCATCAAATCGGCTGGAGACATGCGGTAGTTGGGGGGCGACAGGGCAGGGGGCAGAACCGGAACCGGTAACGGTATTTTGTGTCGGAAAAGGCTGAGGGACTGGATAATTTAAGCCTTAAGGTAGAAATCACATTATGTTATTGTATACATATACACCTAAGAGCGGACGTCCCAGCGCGGTATGCGTAAGATTGCCTTGATGATAATGATATGACAGGACACTTCTATGACAATGTTATGACAGGACATTTGCATGACAATACTAACTGCTGACAAAGAGAGGCATGTGGGACACCACGACTTCGGTATCCACCTGAAGGGTTGGCCTAAAAATCCTATATCGTGATTCGTGATATTTTGACCTCTCTTCAGCAGCCCTGTGGTGTCTGTACTGGCACCGCTCAGGGAACGTCCCGACGACAGCCGACAGTCAGAGCACGTCCCTTCCGGCTTCACTGGGCTCGGCGATCAGTGAAGTTATCGACCTGGTAGTCCACCCAGACTATCAGTGTAAGCTGGATCAAATCAACAACAACCTCCATCTAAACAACACTCCGATACCGGCTCCGCAGCAATAAACCAGTCGCCAGGAATTTCTTCACCTCCGGACTGGATTTTCAACGCGACCACAGCTGTTTATTTGCTCCCAGCGGGCTCCAGTCAATATCGCGTCTGACTGCGATCAGCCGGGTGGTTCCCTCGCAGCCTGTGGCCGCGCCGGTCGACCCGGCCGCCCCAGGCCTCACAAAGGAAGGTCGCCCGTCCGGCAACAGCCACCCTTATTGTCCCGACCCGGTATTGGAATGCTTTGCAACAACAGGGGAACACTGTGAAGGATTCCATTCGCGCTAAGGGTCGCGCGAGGCTGGCGTATTTACAATGCCAGCACGTATGTTGTCGAGCGACGGGCAGGACTTCTTTTGAAGAACTAACGATGTGCAAATAGAAGATTTTGAAATGTAGGCCGAACGGAGTGCTACACATATTCTCGAGTCGCATGTCTTCTCAATTTTTTAGTACTTTTGGTGAAAAGTTTGCCTCATTTCAACATCACGCAGTTAAAACATCACGCAGGTAAAACGTTGGAAAGGACACGCAAATGTAATGCATGGTAGGCACAAAATAAATCAATATTTGCTCCGCAAGCGATTATTACGAGCGAGCGAGCGCAGCGAGCGAAGCGAGTCTTTTCTATATAACGGAAAAATCTCAGTATGAGCGGCACAGCCCGGCCCGGCCCAGCCTGTAACGCTTTTGAGAGGCTTATATCTCAGCAACTGCTGGACCGATTGGCCTGCGGTCTTTTTTGCTGGGTAGCCCCATCCCTTCTACCCCGTAATTGACTACTTTTGATACATCTCAGTGACCGTCGTGGCACGTGCCACGTGAAAAGTCAAGGGTGTTCAAGCTGTTTTGCAAAAGTAGTGATTTTGAGAGGCTCATATCTCAGCAGCCGCTTGGGCGATTGACTTGCGGTAATTTTATAGGGTAGCTGCATCCTTTCTACCAAAAATAGGATACTCTCGATGCATGTGAGTCACCCCCAGTGCACGTGCAAAATACAACAATAAGAGGTGTCAAATTTGTTCCCATTTTAATAACTCGGTAAGTACTGGGGCGATTTCGCTGAAACTTGGCATACAGGTAGGCACCCACCAGGCAATGCATTCCCATGTGTTGCGGTTAGGGTGCTACTGCACGTGCGCACGTGCAGGGGGCGCTTCCAGATCTAGAGAACGGCTGGGCCGATTGCGCTCAAATTTGGTACACGGTTGGAGACCGGTTAGTAGGGTGCCGTGCAAAAGTCAGTTTGGACCCCGTTTGCACGTGCGCACGTGCAGAATGCCGTTTCCAGATCTCAGGAACGGCTGGGCCGATTGCGTTCAAATTTGGTACACCGCTAGCGACCGGTTAGAAGGGTGCTTTGCGCAAGCCCGTTGGAAGTACCCTCTCGCCCTTCCGCACGTGCAGGGCTCACTATCTCGCTCGCTCGTTCTTCGCCCAAAAGGCGTTTTACTGGTATAAAATGCTTTTAATGCGAAGTAGTTTACATAAGTTACCTAATTTACACCATTTAGTGTCAAATTGAAGGGATAAAAAGATATTGCAAGCTAGAGAAATGTGCTCTTTGAAACCATTCAAAAGAAGCGCGGCTTTTTAAAAGGTTCCATTAGGGTAGGGTGGGGTAATTTGAACATGTGGGGCAATTTGAACATAGTGTGAATAACAGAAAATTACGGAAAATCCATAAGTGGCATGACAATAAGACCAATGAGAGAAACTATCGTAACTAAAAGGGCTATCATATGAACGGGGTTTAAAGTTTCAGGGAATGAAGATGTTGACGCACAGTGTAAAAAATTAATTTCGCAAGGGAAAACGCCTAACAACACGTCATTGCAACTTCAATGCAGCGCAAAATCTTGTATTGCTAGCGCCTAATACGCAACGGCTTTTGTTGTATAATGACCTAATCAGTGCCTTCAATCCAAGAAATTTGCTTTTGAACCGTGTTTTTTTTAATGGCAAAATAACTTTTAGCGTGGGGTAATTTGAACATAGTGTGAGAATTTGAATGAAGACAGGGATAGCTCCGAAAAAAACAACGCTCCCAGTTTTTTTTTGCCAATATTTTCGACCCAAGGCAGTAGCAGATAAGTTATGCCAGTTTTAGAAAATTTACGTCTAATATCCGTCTAATGTCCGGCATGTTTGTTGATTTTCCGTCCAAAAATGTTAAAGTCAACTATTTGTCCAAATATGTCCGAAAATTATGCAGCTAGCAACACTCAAAACCGTCATTTATATTGCTTATCATGTAATTTTACCAGCCGAAAAGTGTTATTATATTGAGAGCTTAACAAGCTTTCCATTCGCCAATCAATGCTATGCACGATTACTTTATAAAAAGCGCTGAAGTGTAGCAAACCATCGTCCAATGTTGTCCAGTCTGCTACCTTTGTCCAACCAATTCCGAATTGGACTTTGGACAAAATCAGAACTCCAAATGTCCAGGTTTCGATTGGCACCACTTTAACAGATGTAGTACGGTTGGGAGAGTTTTTATCGAACAAAAATGATAGACGTTCTGTTAATTGAAGAGGGGCGAATTCTGTCAACTGACCGGTGTGCAGCGTGCAGATATTGATACTCTGCAACTGTTATTTTTGCTGTTGTGTTGATTTTTGAAGTGAAGGTATGTTTAGAATTGTTCTGCCTATTTGTTTATGGGTCAAACAACATCGGTGCTGGCGAGACTATCGTTTTTATGACAGGTAAAGGCAGTATGTTCAAATTACCCCACGGTGGGGCACTTTGAACACACCGTGACTTGGTGGAGAAGTGAGGCTATGCTATTCAAGGTATGCTCGGCTCGTCCAAAAATGAGGCTTGCATGGTGAAAGCAAGTGACACTTGCGCTACTGAAGCAGTTTTTCTTCATCCAGGGTTGAACTGGAATTTGGTACAACGGAGAGTACGTAAAAATATGTTCAAATTACCCCACACTACCCTATACTGGCAAAGCTGCTTACGACCGGGTAGCAGCACAACTTGATTAAATCAGTTTACTTTGACGCAACTTGTTACCAAGTTGGGAAGTTTCTGCCTGCGGCACGGTAACAGAGACATACAGAGGGGTTCGAGCCGAGATACCCAAGGTGAGGAATCGAGCGGCATCCGCACATAGCCTACGTCACATAGCCTATGGTAACAACCGAATGAAATAAAGATAATGGACTCGCTAAAAACAGACGGTATACTTGGATCTTACGGTACTCACACGAGGGTGGACATGTTTCATTTCCAAGCGGATGCGGATGCATGTTTAAGGAACTGCAACTCCTTCCCGACAAAAATTAGCTAATGGATAAGCCGGTTTGTTCCAGCTAAGACTGATGGGATCTAATTACAGTGTGTCTTTGGATATGCTGCTACGCAAAAAAAAAAAACGTTTGCAGACCGCAAAGAGGAAACGAATACGTACAAAATTGTATTACACTTCCCTCTTTTCAAGCAACACAAACATTGTCTGACTTTGTACGCAGCGCTGTTACTGAACTTCAACTTATCAGGATGACCTCAACCTCACCATACTTGACCCTGCTATAATGACCTCGACCCCGGTATACTGACCTTGACCCCGTTATACCGACCTTGACCTCTGCGCCCGATGCGCCGGGCATCAGTTCGGCGATTTTGCGCAGGTTGATGCCTCTGGTGAGGTTCATCTTGCGCGAGTGGATGCGCAGGATGTCGAGGCGGGCCTCCTCGTTCGGCGGCGGAAACTCAATCTTCCGGTCAATCCGGCCCGGCCGCAGCAGCGCAGAGTCCAGGATGTCGATACGGTTGGTAGCCATGATCACCTGGCGAAAAGGTCACACAATGTCACCTGAGGTCACAAAGGGTCACATTAGATCATGCATGGTCAATGGGATCATACTGGAGAAGACGAAGTCACATCAGGTCAACCAGGACCACACAGGAGAACACACAGTCACAGGGCCACATGTGGGCGTCCTAAGACAAGACAAGCAGTCTCGTACCGGCTTCGATATCGGCACCAGAAAATAGGTACCCTTGTCAAAGTTCAGACAAAATACGGGCCCAATCGACTGTACCAAACAATATAACAAAGCCATATCCTAGCCAATATTCCTGTTAGAAAATGCCGACCCAGGGCAATATACCGTTTAAAATAGCCCGTTATGGGACAATACACCAGTTATGGTGGTCCGTTCTTGGCAATACACGGTGTAAGAGGGCTGTCCGGGCATAGAGATCTTATAATATTATAAGATCTCTATGGTCCGGGCAATGTACCGTGGCAAAGAGCGGCCAAAACGATACAGCAGCGACAAACGTTTCCCGTATCTTAGCAATACATCGGGAACAGTATTGTGCCTCATATATCAGTAAGTAACAATAGTCCGATCCAGGTGATATGTCAGTAATAGCGGCCTGACACATTATGTGTATACCGTAGACAGCAGCCGTCCCAGATTATAATACATTGGTAACGGTAGTCAGTCACAGATCATATTCCAGTGGGAGGGGACGTCGATGATTTGCCAGCCTCAGACAACATCCCGGTACTTCTCAGAGATATCACTGTTTACGCTTGACTATGAGTGGTCCACATAATAAACCGGTAACACAACCTCAGACCAATAAACTAGCCCCAGACTGCCCCAGACAATATATCGATGAGCCGCAGACAATAAACCTGCGACAGACTGGCCTCAAACAACAAACAATTGACCGGCCATCGCCACTCTGTTGACAGCAGTCGGCCCTGACAACACTCCATTGACGGGGTCCGACCTCAGGGGACTCTCGGCGGGCCGGTACAGGGACCCGCAGTTGCTACTGTACACATATATGACCAATTTAGAATTGCGCTATTATTTGCCAAGTGCTGGCCATTGGAGAAAAGAAATGTAGTGCAAAGTATGGAGGAATAACACATGTTTGCTCCTAGGACGTATGTTTTGTATAATTCCTCTTACCACAACAGATATTCTTCCAAAACTACTATCGTGCTATTTTTCCGCTCCGGTTGCCTCCCCAGAGCCCGTCCTTGGTATCGCCTATAGCTTCCGTTCCCGCTACGTGAATGAAAGCCACGTGACTACTACAGGTTTGCGCTCAGTACTAACACACCTAGCCCGAGGGCCGGTCCGTAGCGGGGAGGGGTAGAACGCCAGAGCTCCAGCGCAGTGGAGGTGGTGGTGGCCCGTATCATAAAGAGGCAACCGTAAGCAGAACTACAATTGCCGCAGTATGAGATTATGATAAAGTTTTCTTTAGATGTATTGATTGACAAGAAATTGCAATGCTTATCCGATATAATAAAACGGTGTCCAAGGCCTTGGAAGAACTATAAAACATATTCAGCAACGTATAAATTTCTGATACAGGCCATGACCTTTCACCTTGCCTCCGGGGAGGACCGCTCAGGAAGCCACATACCGAACGAATCGAGGCCTCGCAGCGCGGCGGCAGAGGAGGTGGATAAACCATCGCCAGATCTTTCGGTTACTTATGTTTCCAGAAGAAGGAGGGGGGTGGGGGGGGGGGGGGTGGAGGGTGAGGGCTGTTTCAACCCACTCACCAATCCTTTCCTTATTAACTTATAGCTTACCGAAAAATGCAACACAATGGTGGCCGTCACGGGATGTAGCGAAGAGTGCCTCAGCCACACCGGTTTTGAGTAAACTTTAAGCATTGGAATTCAGGCCACTGATCCTGAAGCATTATTTTATTTTTGTCGTGCATAAGCTGGGATGACGTGGTTCAAGTTAATTGCGAAGAAACGGTTTAGTTTCAGAACATTTATGAGGCTAGTCGCGCCAAATAGTATACGTTTGTTGCAAAATGTCAAATAGAATGTTGACGTGCTATCCAGATGATGGAATTTATTTGACACAAGAAGTCAAAAAGTGGCATCGTTAGTCATCCTGCATACCTATAAATCGATTCGTCATCTTGGTTCGAGCTCAATAGTTCTTTTCGCGGATGATCGATTTCGTTTTCTTTCTTCTTTTTTTTGGGGGGGGGACAGATTATGAGCCAGTAACCACCCTCCCCAGTCCCCCAAACAACAATTGTTGACAAATACTGTGATGGCCTAAAAAATGCTCTCAAATGTGTTACGTAGGGGGGAATGAGGTAAGTTGAGCCGCTTTTTGTTTTTCGTAAGCTACAGGCTAACTTAATGATCATTTTTCTGCGTTTACGGGTTGGACGGACAGAGTGGTCATTTGCGCATGTAATGGTGGCCAGAAATGTTCATACCGCTTATTTTTGTACTGGAAAGGCTACGTCAAAAATCATCTTGCACGTTGCTCATCTTACCCCATGGGCGGGGTAAGCTGAGACACGTCGTGGGGAAAGTTGAGCATGGATAGAAAAAGCGAACCTTTTCTTTTCCCGGGCGCGGCGAAGAGTGGGCTCTTTTATGTACTCCATGGCATAGATACTTATGGCAAAGTTTTTTCCTCCATCAAAAAGTGACTGTTTTAAGCCTTCCAATAGCTCGTCAATTTTCTATCACGGAAGAAATCATTTTATCCTTCAGATAATCTGCAAATCACTTACAACTTGTGTAATCAACAAAGAAAAACAATTTGCTACCATTTGTATTCAGCAGAAACAAGCGCAGCTCAGTTTGGTTTTCGACAGCGGAGACAACAATGGCTTATCCGGCTCATCTTCCCCCAGGTGAAAATGGCTCATCTTGCCCCACCCGTGGCCATTTTCGATTAATGACACCCGCTAAGGAAAATAACCATGCACCGCAGATAACAACCATCTCATTTTAAAGGCAAAACATGTCTTAGTTATCAGGGGCGATACCACATGTTACCGGGTGCTGAGCGTGAGAACGTTGCCGTCTCACGTGAAAGACTGCAGCATCGTAAGCGAACGGCACATGGAAGCTCAAGTCAATTAGCGCCATAGGAGCTGAGAAACATGGGGTGGCTAAGTTTGCCCCTTGGCTCATCTTACCTTACTCTCCCCTATTTGGGGCTCTCAACTTTGATTTGTTAAAGTTGTTTGTCTGTTATTTATAAAAGCTGTCAAATTTACCGTATCATTAACTTTTATTGAGTTTGTATTTCACACTTATCTAAAATGAACAATTTTGTCACTGGCTTCTTTTATGAATGGAATTGGATGGTCGCATGAATGAACGAATGAATAGCTCCATTTGAGCATCAGCTGAAATCAATCCTAAAATTTAATCTACCAGTCTGCAACGAAAAAGTTTAAAAACCGGTGCAAGTTAGGTGCAGTTTCTAACCTATGCCGTTTTTATTAAGTGTCTCATAGCTCCTTAATCTTGAGCCGCTTCTCTTACGATTCATTTTATGTGGTGCTTACTTTGTTCAAGAAGTAGTATTCGAGCTCGTTGGTCTTAAAAAATTGCTATCGAAGTAAATTAAAGTGTTTCGGGCTTCGGCACTTAAAAACCAATCGATATTTAACCCTCACCCACTTAGGCATTTCTTTTCAGCGTCTTATATGTAGCGGAGGGGCGTAGAAACCTCAGCCATTCATGAATAGCCAATAAAAAAGAGCGAGCTACTCGTGGCGAGAGAAATCCGATGATTTGAGGGCCCTGGTCATCGCTGACGAGAGAAAGCCAATTATTTTTATGTCCTGGTCAATGCTGAGATCCTAGGTCACTGGTTGACCTCCCAGATCAGGTTAATAACCCAAAAGCACGAAAAATTGGGTCCTGCTAGAATTTCTACAAGTGAAGTTTGCTGGGACTTGGCTTGCTTCTGACTCCGAATTTGCACTTGCTTTGATCAAAGATGATATATCAAAGCATTTGGGGTAGGACGGGTCACGCCAGATCACCCATTAGGCGTTCTGCCGGCTATCCATAGAATGTTAACCCTCGCCCGTATAGGGGGGGGGGGGGTCGAACCAGGGGCGGATCCAGAAAATCTCCAAGGGAGGGGCCATTAGAAACCAGGAGGCCCCCCATAATCCCACCTGTTGGAGGCCCCATCTTCCCACTTGTTGGCCCCCCCCCCCCAAAAAAAAAACTGCGTCTATTGAGCTTATCTAGCTGTTCAGGCAACATCTCAACATCTGTGCAGGCTTGGAGGCCCTCTGTGCAGGTTAGGAGGCCCTGTAAAAGTGGTCATCTCTGTGAGTATAAGAGACCTCCAAGTTATGAAAAGCTTTACCAATCTTCTAACAAAGAAGTCTTCTCAGCTAGTCTTCTAAGAAATAACTAAGTGGGTAGGTTAAAAAAGAAAAACTCATCGGATTTCGGCCACTTTATTTTCAGGAGGCCCCCTTTTCAGCTTTTTAACTTTTTAACTTTTTATTTTATTTTTGAAAAAAAATCGGCCAAGGGGGGGGGGCCATGGCCCCCATGGCCCCCCCCTTGTATCCGCGCCTGGGTCGAACGGACCCCCGCCATGGTTTTTCGCGAATAACTCGCGTAAAAAGCGGCCGATCGCGACGAAACTTTCAGTACCCTCGCGTTCATCAATTTCACACCTACCCTGAAAATTTCATGACCCTGACCCAAATGACCTTTGACCTGTGACCTACTTTTCGAGACCATGTTTGGCTGGAATCGAGATTCGGCGTGTGTCGGCTCGCATTAGACGCGCGTTTGCAGTCTTTTCGTGGTTTCAAGCGTTCAAACATGTGATATGATGTTGCCCCCATGCATTAGGGTGGGTGTCAAGGTCACCTGAAGGTCAGGTCATTGACCTTTGATGACCTCGGTTCACTTTTTCGAGTTTTACATGTTTCTAGGCCAGTTTTTGGAGCTGAATTCGAATTTAGCAACCATATGAACATTTACGAAGCAGTTTTGGTGCCTTCGTAACATG